AATAACACTCTCATAAGTCTTGAAGAACCTAGCTGTACTGTACAACAATGTACATGTGATGGGGCATGTCTACATGTGCATTAAGAAAAGTTCATTAATGTACATTAAATTTAGTACCTCCAATGTGAGGTACTAAATAAATGTGCATTAAGCTGCCCTAATGTGCAGTAGTGAAAAAGCACATTTTTAATGTGACGCTTAATGCTCAGTAGCCTATTTTACTGTATATTGGCGTAATTGCACTTTTTTTTTACGTGATGCTTGAATGTGCAATAAAATAGGATACTGTGCATTAAAGTGCATGTGTAGACTATATACTAGCACTCCTAATGAAGGCTATGCAAATAATGATTTTTGGTTGGATGTTCTATATATTTAATGACAAAAATTTGAGGGCATGTGACAACATACAGAGATGATAGCTACAAACAATTGCACATGTCACTTATGTCATCTTATTTATATAATGACTTCAGCACCATGACAATTTAGCAAACTTGCACTTATCCTCCAAGTTTAAGTTCATCAGGCCATTGGCATTTATAAATATTTTTGAGCATAGTTTTGGTAACTAGATACCCGTTAGTTGCACAATTATGTGGAAATTGTTTAGCAATGCCTCGGCACCCTGATGTTTTGGAGATCAAGATAATTCAGGACAGTAGCTCTTTCTCCATAATTTATGCCTGAGCCTAATCTATAAACTGGCTTGTAGAAAAGTACAAGAAGTACAAAAGAAAGTCTTTTGCATTGGTTTTTCTAGACAATGATTTTTCTATGTTGTGCAAAATTTAAAAATAAGTATTAAAAAATGTGCATTCTTGATAATAGTTTTGCTACCTATGGATACCTTTTTGAATACTTAAAAGAATGAATTTGGTCCTGTCCTGTGTATTTCCTGAAATAAAATTGCCTAAATTATCCCAGGAGTCTTTTGTTTTTTACATATATTTGCACTGAGTTCTCAATTACCTTCATGAGTTATGGTTTGTGATTCTGAAGTAGAGGTTGTTTGACTGTCCTGTTGCAGGGAGGTGAAGGACATGAAATGATCTGGTTGCCTTGTATCATTCACTGAGGCTGTCAGAATTTGAAGAAAGAAATTATTAGAGAGAATGAGCAATCAGTTTGAAAAATTACAATTAGAGCACTGGTGTAAAGATTGAGGTTTTAGGTTCTGTGCAGAAGTGAGTTTGTACAAAGAATGCTGTCCCTGTGTTGCTCACTATACCTCCCATGGTGGAAAAGTGGCGCAGAAGGAGAGAACACAGAACTGGAAGGGGCTCACTGGGCTTTTGGGTCCAGTTCCCTGTGTCCTTAGGCAGTTCCTAACCAAAAGAAGATGAAAAATTACTACTTAAAATTCTCATACAAAAATACAGGGCGCAACACCCAAGAACACCTATAACATGTCACAGACAAAAGCAGGGGAGACAGGGGGACTGCCACTGCAATGCCAGGGAAGTGATTCATTAATATATGCTTAGAAGAGCCTACAGAAAGGCTCTATGGAATAAAAAAGCCCCTGCAACCTGTGTCAGTCCAACCTATAGGATGAATTCCTTCCTGACCCCAAGTTCGGTGGTTGGTATGGCTCTAAGATTCAGGCTTTCTAAAACAGGAACCATTAGGTTTGCTAAAAACAGGAAGAATCATCAGCACACGTTAGTCAAATCCCCAACCTTAGCTGTGGTCAAAGTCCCATTGTGTCTGAAGAAACTGAAAAACTTGCCAGTGCATTCACTGAGGGGAAACGAAATTCCTGCCTGACCCCAACTGGCCACCAACAAAAGCCCTGAGGCAGGGGATGACCAGATATCTTCTGCATAGCAGGTGGTACTTTTAAACCTCAACCTGGGGACTACAAATATGTCACTCCACATATCAAAGCCTGACTATTGACCCAGAATTCCCTATTTCAGGGGTTGTCAACCAGGGGTATTCATACCCCTGGAGGTACTTGGCAAGCCCCCAGAGGGTACGCAGCAGCAGTGTGGAGAAACTACACAGGGGCACTTCTGTTTTTGCGGCTGGTGCTTCTGGTTTCACTGCTGTGTGCAGGGGACCGCCCCCCCCGGCTTGTTGATCAGCCACCTGGGGACTCCTCCCTCCCCCCCCACAATGCTCATCGACCAGCCAGACTCCCTGCTTCTCAGCCGGCTGCCGCGGGTACACCAGCCAAAAAAGGTTGAAAACCCCTGTCCTATTCTATCATGCTTTCCCTTCCATAAACTTGCGCAGTTTAGTCTTAAAGCAGTTCAAGATCTTTACCCTTAGTATGAACATATCCCCCACTCGCTACGTGTTCATTAATGCACCTTAGATACTGTGCATTTAGTTTAGTTAGGACTTAATAAAGTACTAACTAAATGCACAGTGCCCAGAGTTACTGCACAGTAACGCTGGTGAACGGTTATTTAGTGATGCTTACTGTGCATTAGCCTAATAACACTGTACAATAGGCTATTAACATGGTTTTTGCCATGACACGCTACTGTGCAGTGTTATTAGGCTAATGCACAGTAAGCGTCTCATGTAGATACATCCACTGTGTAGCATAGCACTAATGTATAGTGCTCTGGAAGCATCACTAGACTTGCTGAGTTCAGTCTTTTGTCATTCAGGAAGCAAACTGAAGCAGCATCTGAAAATATTTTACCATCATTTACTTATATTCATGATTATACAAATGTTCTGTAAGAACATAAGAATGACAAGATGCCATTTTGAAAATAAAGCTGACTCTTTCTTCACATTTATGTCAGAAAGTTGCCACTTTAAAAGGATTAACAGGGTGATTTCTGATCTTTCCTTCCTCCTGTAATTCATTTGCATAGATTATTCTAGCATGTTTGCTAAATTACATTTACAATCTGATGGTTTCTTACTTCTGTAAGCAGAAGTCAGTAATCCTGGAGTAGAGGTGGTTCTACTTTCCTCCATGATGGAGATGGAAGCAGAGAAGGTATCTGTGTTGTCTGCTGTGCCTTTAGAGGATTGGAAAAATAAATTATTACGGAAAACTAGAAATTAGGAATAGTAACTAGAGTTTGGGTATTGTTGAAATGGTTTGAAATCAAGTTTGGAGGAAAAGTTATTTAAGTGCATTAGCTCTTAACATCTCATGTTTTGGGTTAGAATTGCCTCCTGTTACTCAGAGCTAAATAGTACTGTAACTGTAAGTGCAGGCAGGTGCCTTGCTTTTGTCACTGATTAATTTCTTTTCTGAAGGACCAGGTATTTAACTATCTAAAGCTGACTGCTATTACTTTATGGGCATGATAAGTGGTTGAGGTACATAGTTCAATGCAAATTATTCCATAATCTCCAGCTGGTCTGATATTTTAAAAAATCAAGAAAACATAGGACAGTAGCTCTTTCTGCTGTACAATTTATGCCTGAACCCATCCTATAAATTAGTGGGCAAAAAATATTAATAAGCTATTAAAATATGTTACGCAGGTCCTTTTTCCTGAGCAATGAGCTAACATTTTTTTCTACCATGTTTTATTTATGATGCAAAACCTATATACAGGTTTTAAGAATACATTTTTGTGCAGTCATTTTGCTTCTTTAGGGCACTCATTAGAATTAGTTTGGTTTCATTCATTTACCCAATGATTTTTCTTAATTTATAGTTTGTGGAAATATGGTTTAAAGTACTGGACCTTAATTTCTGGTGTGGTAGCTCTAAATTGCATTTTCAAGGTAAATACAAACTACTTTTATAATTATAAAAAGTGAGGATTTTTTAAAAATTGGCACAATGAGCATAGGACTGAGTGTTCCAGGGGTGAGAGCAGAAGCAAGTTTCCTAGTGTTACCTTTCCCAACACCAAACATCATAAACACAACAAATTGGCCTGCCTCTCTCCTGCTCAAGAGAGGCATGTGCCTGAAATACCATGGACTGGAATGGTTCCATAAGGAAGTGGGTTGTGAGTCTTACAGTTATTTCTGGGTTTGCATCTGTCTGTAGCCTTACTAGATGACACAGTGTCCATATGGGAAGTTTTGGAGGATCCATTAATGGGAGAAGTAAAGAAACTAAGTTGGTCAAAAACATCATGACACTTGTGATGTCTGAAACATCATGACTATTGTAAAGTAAGGGTTGCCTATAGATGTGTGGTGACGCTGCTCCGACGTGCTGTAATTATGAGTCTGTAATTAATCAAGTCTTCTGGAGTGTGCTAATTAGTGCGCTCCAGCAGCCTCTGCGTCTCAAGTATTCGGCATCCCCATGCTTCAAAATGGCACTTTAACTAAAGTGAATGAACTTCAGTTAAAGTACCCCCGCCACCATTTCTATGCGCAGGACACTGAATACACAAAAATGCTGCAGGCTCTTTAATTAAAGCAGTTCTCAGAGCCGCTTTAATTAAAGCGTCATCCCCCGGTCTCCTGGAGCACATGTAAAGACACCCTAAATGTCTCAAATTATTTAGAAATCTTGAGTCAGAGGGTATCTGGGTTATATCTGCTAATGTGAAGAAAAAAAAAATCTAAACACACATTCTCCCCTCGTGGTTTCATAGTTTCACAGCTTCATAGTAGCTAGGGACCTGAACAGATCATCTAGCCTGACCCCCTGCCACAGGCAGGAATGAATGCTGGGTTCACAAGACCCCAGCCAGGTGATCATCCAACCTCCTCTTGAATTTCCGCAAGGTAGGGGCAAGGACCACTTCCCTGGGAAGTTGGTTCCAGCTTCTGGCCACCCTGACTGTAAAATATTGCCTTCTGATCTCTAACCTGAACCTATTCTCCATCAGCTTATTACCATTGATCCTCATCACCCCAGGTGGTGCTGGGGAAAATAGGGCTCTTCCTATTTGCTGATGATCTCCCCTGATGAGTTTGTAGGCAGCCACCAGGTCCCCCCTCAGCCTCCTCTTGCTGAGGCTGAACAGGTTCAGGTCCCTCAGTCTCTCCTCATAGGGCCTGTCCGGCTGCCCTCTCACCAAGCGGGTGGCCCTCCTCTGAACTCTCTCCAAGCTGACCACATCCTTTTTAAAGTGCGGCGCCCAGTACTGAACGTAGTACTCCAATTTGCAGCCTGACCAAAGTCTCATAGAGGGGGGAGTATCAGGCAGACTCTGCCACCGACATACCAGGCCATATATCTCCCTGCCACTGGTTCCCCTTCTGGTGCGGTCCCCTCACTGGGACCTTCGGCTCCTCTAGCCCTGGCCCATCCCCAGGCCAACCGGGAGCCCAGGGCCCTGGGTCTTGGGTGTCCCTCTCAGTGGGCCTCCTTGCCCTTCTGACCCTCCTGGTCCTGGCCCCCACCTGGGCCAGTCAGGGGAAGCTCTGGCAGGCCTCAAGGTATGACCCATACTCTTTTCCCGGGATCCCCCTCTCTGGGTCCTCCTTCATGGACGTGGGGAGCTGGGGTACCTCACACCACGACTGGTGCTTCAGGGTCTCACAGGGGACTCTCACTCCCCCCCGGGCAGCAGGTCGTGGTACTCCTATGGATGTTATATTTGACCCAAACTCTGCCTCCCAGCATTGGAGGACTTACTGGGGTCAGGACTCAGCTCTCTCGCTCTCTGGCTGAGCCCCCATTCTTCCCTCACTGGACTCCACCCCTCTGCCCCTCATACTGGGGCTTCTACTGGGGTTTCTCATTGTTGCCCCCTCAGTTCTCACGCTGCCCCCTCACAACTGGGGCTCAGACGTTATATATGACCCAAACTCCGCCTCCCCACGTTGGAGGACTTACTAGGGTCAGGACTCAGCTCTCTCACTCTCTGTTCTTCCCTCACACTGGGGGCTTCTCACTGTTCATCACACCCCCTTTACTCAGGGTCTCGGGGCTTCCTTCCTCTGGGGGCTCAAGTGGCCATAGCTGTGCCTGGCCCCAACTCCCCAGCACGGGGTCTCAAACCCCCGCAGGGCTCAGGCAGCCTCGGCCATACCTGGCCTCCAACTCTTCACTCTCCTCCTTGGGGTTTGCACCCCCACAACTACCTCTGATGGAACGCAACCCACCTGAAGGTGAGGGCTAGGGGTTAAGGTGCCCTGACCCGCCTTTCACCAGGGTGATCACTGGCCTGGCATTTCCTGGGGGCTCCCGTGCCACTGGGAGCCCCACCAGGCCACCCACTCCTGGCAGGGTGCAGTTTTAGGTCATGCCCAGGACCAGGAGCCTCCTACCATCCCTTACAGCTCTTCCCTTACCTCCAGATCAAACTCTGCAGCCCTCTGGCCAGGCAATGTTGTTGCCTGACCTCCAGCAGCCAAACTACCTTGTTTATATGGGCAGCTCTGAACCTAAAAAGGCTGCCCTCATTAGGCCAGCTGCAGGGCCTTAAAGTGGCAGGCATACACAGTGCCCTGCCACACGCCCATCAGTCAGTTTTTTACCCATCCAACTGTGTAGGCATCAATGCCACAGTCGCTTAATTTATTGATGAGAATGGTTCTTAATGACTGAGTTTATAACAACAAACGTAGTCATTTAAAGAAAAAGAATCCATTACCATGGAGATTAATACACCTAAAGACAGCAGCATGTATGTATGCAGTTTCAGTAGTGATAGCCATCTGACTCATTTATTTGGCTAACCTGAATAAATCCAGCCCTAAACTTCTCCTATTAAATGCTTCCACAATAGATTGTCATTATTCCTTTTTTTAATTCATTTTTCTACATTTTAAGCAGGTTGTATCCTATGGGACACTAAACGATCATTTACCAAGCAGGCTCTGATGAATTATATATAATAAGAACATGCAGTTCTGACTGGATTCCCATTTAGGTGCATGATTTTATGCGTGTTATTCCATAATGCCTGGCAGCCCTGAGATTTCAAAGATCAAGATAATTAAGCCAGTGACAATTTCTGCCAGAATAAATTGTATAACAGGTTTTCAGAAAAGGATTAATCACCATAAAAATATAGCCATTGTATTTATTTTTTTTCTGAGCAATAAAAACATCTTCAATTTGTAGCACAAAACATATCAGAATGGTTAATGTTGTACTTTTTGGATAGCAGCTTCAGTACTTTAGAACACTTAACAGAATGAATTTAGTTATCCATGTTTCCTGTAATTTAACTGCATATAATATTCCAACATGCCTTTTAGGTTATGTTTACATTATATTTTGTTACCTTTGTAAGTTGTAGTCAGTAACTCTAGAGTTGAGATTGCTACACTCATCTGTGGAGCTGAAGTGGATGTAAAGGAGGTTTGTGGTTCTGGTGTTGTGCTATGCTTGGAGGCTGTCAGGAGGTTAAAGAAATAAATTAATTAAAGGGGACTAACATTGAGTTTTAAAAGCTAGAACTAAAGGGCTGGTGAAAAAAATTGGGTTTTAGGCTTTGTGGAAAAATGAATGAATGCACTAGCTCTTAAATTCTAGTGAGACACAAGTATATTCCCAAGGCACTAGCTAATTACTGTTATTAAGTGAATGTGGATGGTTTTTGTTATTAACATCATTGGTGCAGAGCTAAATGCTTAAGGAACAAAAGTGGAAGTGTTTTAGGTCAATCTTTCTGAAAACCTAATGTAAGAACCCCAGCTCATCATTGTTATACTTGCAGGTCTAAAGAGTCCTGTAACTCAAAAATCATAGAGTCCTGTGGCTTTGTAAAGAAGTGGGCTGGTAAAACTATAACTCCAAAACATACATAATATATACACAGTAGTCATTTGGGAGAGTGCATGGCTAGAGAAATTTAAATCTGGACTGGACAAAAACACCAGCACTATGA